CCCAAACCCTAAACCCTGAAACTCTAAACCCGTTTTGCAATCCGAAGTTTCATGGCTTCGAGTTCGGACAGCCTTACTGCGGAACTTATCAACCGGAATATGATGCGAAATCTGCCAAGAAGCACCCCAAGAGGAGCATTGACCCCAGTTCATCAGCTGATCCAAAGAAACCTGCGCGAGCGCAGTGAAACTCCCTAAACCCTTAACCCACTCCACCTTCAACCCTCAACCCCCTACACCCTAAACATCCCGAAACCCAAATCGCTGAAAACACGCAAACAACTCGGTGAAACCTGTGCTGCCCTAATGTAGGGGCATTAATCATTAGAATAGGGGTTTGGGGATATTGCACTATAACTATAATAAGGAACCCCGCAAAACCCTANNCTAATTATTAGGCACCTACATTAGAACTCTTACAACAGCACGGCCGGCATACTTGCCCGATATTGCCCGTCTTCTTCCTTCAGCTTCCTAATCATTGGGAGTTAGGATTAGGGGGTTCCATTGGGGATATTTACCCGTCTCCCTAAACCTGCCTAGGTCTATGATAACATATAATAGTTGTCTTATGCTATACCGCCAAAGCCTAGTATGTCAATAGTGAAGGCACCTCTATCTTGCTGGCTGGAGGGTGTTGCACGGTTTCGGCACTCATAACTCATAACTAGGACAAGCCTGGTGAGGCTACGGGCCCAAGCATCAGTGGCACATTAGCCGCCACTGTTGGCTTTGGGGTTTAGGGCTTTAGCTGACTGAACCCCTATCCGGCCCTATCCCCTAAACCCCCTGATCCCTTAACCCGCAGTCTCCGGTAGTTACACGCGCAATCAACCGCAACGACCTCATCCGGGCTTTGAAAGTTGTAGGAACACATCCAGATTTCAATTTAGGTGTGCTGCATGTCAATGCTGAATATGTTGCATCCGGCCTTGGGACGACTCGCACCGGTTTAGCAGGCTTGCGGGCCTGGGGGGGGGGGGGGGAATTTCGGGATCAAAAACGCCTCGGGTAAAGCCTCGTGTCGATGCCAAATGCAAAACACCC